AATTAACAAAGTTTCTTTTTTCATCGAGTGCCAAATTATCACAATAAATTTATAATTTTACATAATATTATAATTATATTATTTTTAAAATTAAAAAAAAACTTACTTTTTTCTTCTAAAGTTTGACATTTTTACAAAATATTTTTTATTTTTAATTTTTATTGTGCTTCAATTATTTTTTGAGTTTAATCATATTTTTAGATTTACTAATTTTTACCTTATCACTAAAATGTTCTTTTCCATCATTATTTCTTTTTTAAATTGTCTAAAATTTTTAAATATAACTTAAAATAAAGCAAAATTATTATAAGCATAATATTATATAGTATTATAAATTTATAATATGATATATTATTACATAATTATTTTTTTATTTAAAAATTTATTTATAATATTATATTATATTTATTTAATAATTTAATAATACATTAAACTCATTTAATATTATATTATATTCATTTAATATTATATTATGATTATAAATTTATAATTTTATATAATATTATAATAATATTATTATAAAATTATTTTTTATTAAAAATTTATTTATAATATTATATTTATTTAATAATTTAATAATACATTAAACTCATTTAATATTATATTATGATTATAAATTTATAATTTTATAAAATATTATAATTATAATATTATTAAATAATTTTCCTTATCTAAGCATTTAAATAGTGTGTAACTTTATGTAATTTATATTGTATAAATATTTTTTAAATTTTAAAATTAATATTTTATTTATTGTTATTCAACTTTTAGCGCATTAAAGTAGGTGTCATGGTAGTTGGTTTTTTTTCCTTAGCAATTTAATTGCTTTATCTTCAAACTCCAGCATCCAACCACGAAAAATAGCTCCAAAAATTGAAAATTCTGGAAAAGACAAAGAGATATTTAATGCTGAATTGAGAAGTAGGCCCCTCCACCCCGACCTCCCTTCCCCCTTCATCATCATCATCATCATCCCCAATTTGCCATCATCATCTCCTTTCTTTAATTTTTTTTTCGCCCTTTTCTTAATGAAGCTTTTATGAAAGCACCCGTTTCCTCGTTTTTCTGCTGTTTGTATTTTCTGACTCAGTTTGAAATCTCTACATATTTTTTTTTTTCTCCATAATCACTCACGTATGTATGTACACATCTCTTCCTCTCCACTTAAAAGTTCTTCAACACTTGCTTGGCTGCATCAAATGATTTGAAAGGGAAGGTCAAAATCAAAGAAGTTCCCCTGTTTTGATCATTTCGCAGGTACTCTTCCTAAAACCCACAAAAGAGAAAGAGTAACCAATCTTTTTTCATTACCCAAACACAAATTTTTAAAATTTTTATTGAGTGAATAAAGATAGAAATCTTTTTCTCAGCCTTTTTCAGTAAGGAAGTTGCAGAGATTTGTACTCTGACAAAGGGGGCTCTCCCTCCAGACTGGTGGGTGGGTTAAGTAGTGCTCCATGGCTATATGCTTTGTGAGTTTTCTCTCCCTTTCCTCTGCTCCTCTTTCTCTAAGCTAAAATTTTTCTTTCCCATTGCAGTGCAGAAGATGATGAAGCACGTGCAAACTCAGATTACCCTCACAGCAGGTACTGATATTATTAACTATTACTATAATCAATTCTTTTCCCCTTCTCTCTCCCCCTCTCCCTTTCAATCTCTGTACCTCTCTCTCTCCCTTTCCCTCCTTTTCCTCTTTTTATATAAACTACATAGCATCCTTATCTACTCCCTTTTCCTCCCCTCTCCCCCCTCCCCTCTAGAACATGTAGTAGTAGACGATTCTAATATGGGTTCTTTTGCAACCTTAAACAATCCACAATTGTTTAAACTTTGTGGAGTTTTCACCTCTCATTTGTTGTTCCTTGATTTCTTTTACTGGATCTGTTTGGCCATCACTCCCATATTTCCCTGAACTTTTCTATTTTGATGAAGAAACCATTTCATGGGTTGATTTTAGAGACCTGATTTAGTTATGTTTACATACATATTTTGAATATGTTAAGTATTAATATATGGGTAGTTGTGTTAAGGAAGTAAGTATTCTCTTTTCCTTTTTCTTTCCAGTGAAGTGAAAACTGAGAAAAGAACATTTACTCTTGGGAAAACAAAGGAACTATCCGATCGATGGCGACTTATTTTCATGGGAATCCTGAAATCCAACCGGCCGATGGCCTTCAGACTCTTGTGCTCATGAACCCTACCTACGTCCAATACTCGGACACGCAGTCTCCTCAGCCGGGAAACAATTTTGTTTTCCTCAACTCCAACTCACTCTCTCCCCACGCGCCGCCTCCTTCTCACACTCAGCAATTTGTCGGCATCCCTTTATCCACCACACCAGCATCTACAGTTAACGCGGCTACACACGACCCCGCTTCCCATGACTTCTCGCACTTGCATGGCCTCGTCCAGCGTGTCCACTACAACCTTTACAACCCTATTGACCCTACTGGAGCAGCGCGTGATGCCCCAAGCGCTCAGCAGGGGCTTTCTTTGAGTCTCTCCTCCCAGCACCAACAGCATCCACCGGGGTTCGGTTCACAGGCTCAAGCAATGTCCGGTGAGGACGTCAAAGTTTCTGGCGGGTCACCGTCTTCTGGATCGGCAGTGACCAATGGAGTGTCTGGGATGCAGGGTCTGTTGTTGGGGTCTAAGTACTTGAAGGCTGCTCAAGAGCTTCTGGATGAGGTTGTTAATGTTAACAAGACTGAATTGGCTAAAAGGAATACCGGTAACAACAACAGCAGCAGTAGCAAGGTAGCCGGCGAATCATCCGCAGCTGCTGGTGACGGCTCACCAAGCAGTGAGGCCGGAGGGAAGCCAGGAGCAGAGCTGTCCACCGCGGAGAGGCAAGAAATTCAGATGAAGAAAGCTAAGCTAATTGGCATGCTTGATGAGGTACGCATAATTCATGCCCATAGCATGTGTCCACATGCTTTTTCTTTTTCTTTTTTTTCTTTTTTTTTATTCTATCTTATGAACTTAGGTGGGGTTTGATTTGATATTTGAATTTGAAATATGAAAGAAAATTTGTTTATTTTTTAGGGAAAGTTAGAGTTTGTTTTGATGGAGTAGAGACTAGTATTAGTGTTAGGGAATTGTTTTTGGTCTTTATCAATTTTGTTAGATGAAATCATAGTGATGGAATCATGGATAGAATGTTACTTTCATTGAAATTTTTATAATCTTTTAAAATTTCAAGAATCAAATCAATTGCAGGTGGAGCAGAGGTACAGGCAGTACCATCACCAGATGCAGATTGTAATAAATTCATTTGAGCACACAGCAGGGATAGGCTCTGCCAAAACGTACACAGCTCTCGCCCTCCAGACCATCTCCAAGCAATTCCGGTGCCTGAAAGACGCCATTACAGGGCAAATCCAAGCTGCAAACAAGAGCTTAGGAGAAGAAGACTGCCTGGGAGGGAAACTTGAGGGCTCCAGACTCAAGTTCGTTGATCATCATCTCCGGCAACAGCGAGCACTTCAGCAGTTGGGAATGATCCAGCACAATGCTTGGAGACCCCAGAGAGGACTGCCTGAAAGATCCGTCTCTGTTCTTCGTTCTTGGCTCTTTGAACACTTCCTCCACCCGTAAGCAAAAATTTTCAAAAATTCTAGTATTTGTGAAACATTTACATGCCTGGCTGATTTGATTGTTTTTTCAGGTATCCTAAGGATTCAGATAAGCATATGTTGGCAAAGCAAACAGGACTAACCAGGAGCCAGGTGAGAATTTTTGGTCTTTTGAGCATTTACTTATTTCAGTTGTGAGGGTTTTGATTTAGTAGGGTTAATTCCGATGATGATTCAGGTGTCGAACTGGTTCATAAACGCCAGGGTGCGGCTGTGGAAGCCAATGGTGGAAGAGATGTATTTGGAGGAAATAAAGGAGCAAGAACAGATTGGATCAGAGGACAAAACAAGCAAAAGCCAGAACAATGAAGATTCGGAAAAACAAAGCCCTGTTTCGGAAAACAAACCCAAGAGCTTTACCTCCAAACAGGATAATTCCATCACCCAAAACTCCGCAGGAATGTCCATTTCCACCGCTACAACGTCCCCTGTTGCAGGACGAAACCAATCTGGATTCTCCCTCATTGGATCACCTGAACTGGAAGGGTTTGCACGAGGGAGTCCAAAGAAACAGAGGAGCTCCGAAATGTTACAGTCACCTACTAGTGTCCGCAGTGAGGTGGCGACCGAGCAAGTCTCCATCAAATTTGGCGGCGAGAGACAGAGCAGAGATGGCTACTCTTTCATGGGAAGCAATACAAACTTCATTGGAGGATTCGGGCAATACCCAATTGGGGAAATTGGGAGGTTCGATGCAGAGCAGTTCACCCCAAGGTTTGCTGGCAATGGTGTTTCCCTCACCCTCGGCCTTCCCCACTGTGAAAACCTCTCCTTGTCAGGAACCCATCAAACTTTTCTCCCCAACCAGAACATTCAGTTGGGAAGAAGAGTTGAAATCAATGAACCAAATGAGTTTGGAGCCATCAACCCTTCCACATCTTCAGCTGCATATGAAAACATCAATATTCAGAACAGGAAGAGGTTTTCGGCACAATTGTTGCCGGACTTTGTTGCCTAATGATCTCCGGTGACATTATTCAGATAGATATTTATGATTCTAGGACCAGTCACTATTTTTTGTTGTCTCTCTTTATTAGGGAAATAACAAAAAGCATGGTAATGGTAGTGTAAAGAACAAAAAAAAAAAAAAAAAAAAAAAAATTTACCTGTAGCATAGGTTTATACTCTGCATAGAACCATTTGAATCCTTAGACATCTTAGGATTTGAGCATGTATTTGAGGATTGTATATTAATTTTGTAGGTTTTGGGGCTGGATAGATGGATTGATATCATAGAATTTTAGCTACTTGGGTACCATTATATCAATTTCAAGTCCAAATGTATTGTGAAGTTTAATTTTATTAATGGTGCAATGTTTCATGCAAAAGGCATCTTAGTTTGCATTTGGTAGATGGGCATAACGTGTGCTGTAGTGGAAGCTAGACCACAAGCTGCGCATTGTGCAGTTTTTCCGAATTGAATTTGGTTAGGTGTTTATTAACTATAAACTTTTATATTAATAATTAACTAAAAATATATTTAGAAAGAATACAGATCTACTTATATATAAGTCTTATATACTAAATTTTTGTAAAATTTTGATTATTTATCTCTTCATTTTCAACAGTTGAGATTTATTATAATTTTGTAGTTGAAAAAAATAATTATTTTTAATAAATATAATAAAAAATAAATAAATTTTAACTATTGAAAATAAAGTAATAAATTATCAAGATTTTATATAAATATAATGTGTAAAATTTGTATGTAAATAGATCTTTAATTCATTTAAAAAATAATCTTTTTTTTTTTTTAGTGATGCCCCATCTGTGTTCGTAAGTTTAAGAAGCCACCTTGACCATAATATAATACATGAATTCTTATCATTATCATATTATTTGATACTCCTTAATAACACAATACTTTACTTGATTGTTCATGTACCTTTAATTAGTTAATGTGTATTTGAGACAGACCTCGCTATTTATTTCATCTGCCTATCAGGAGACACTCTTGCTCAATTTCCTGTGATTCTCCAAGAGAGCCTGGTACGTTCTCCAATTCCCCTGTATTGGCTTCATCTCCGCCCTGTGCCACACCAACTCATCATGTAATTTTTTAGGACAATAATCAGTGTATTTTCTGATTTAATATATTTTACCATACATTTATTAAAAAATTATTTTTTAAAATTCAAATTAAAGTCAAGAAAACTTAATTAAAATTAAAAATTTTAATATCTGAATTGATAAATATTGATGAATTTATTAAATTGAATATTATACCAGTCATTTTTTATTTTTCTATATTGAAGATTTTGGCATCCGTCCATTCCCAAATTTGAGAGAGAGTAATTTGAATAAAATAACTTGGACCGTGTAAAGTTTGAAACCTAACCATAGCAAGTGGACATGAATTATAATTGAAAACACATAATGACATCCAATATCAATTCAAATTCCACTTACCTCAAAGTCTAACATAGCCAGTAAGCTAGCCTCACGACTGTGTAGAACTATCATCTTTGGTTGATTTTCAACAGCACCTCCAAGCATGAGGTTTGAAAAGAAAAATATATAAAAAAATGATTGATATATCTTTTAGTTTAATAAATTCTTCAATATTTGTTAGTTCAATTATTAAAATTTTGTAACTTTTAGTTTTAATGTCTTTAATTTAAATTTATAAATAATAATTTTTTAATAAATATATTGTGAGATATATTGAATTAGAGAATATATCAATCATTATCCAAATATATATTATATTTTTTTCTTTTATGAAACGGGGTTTGATTGAAATTTCAAATGTATTTTGGTTTTTTTTTTTTTATCGGCTGAAATTTCAAATGTATTACATTGTCTTTAATGTTTTCGTCAATATCTCACATCAATTAATTTCATTCATGCGTAATTTTATGTCTATTTTGCATCAATTTTTTGATAGAAAATACTTGAATTGCTATAAGTTAATTAAAACCATGCAAATACTATGATGTCCCTTAGAACTTGAGTAAATTATTACTCGATACCTATCTCAGTTCGAGAATCTCTCTCTTTACTCTGATTAAATCAATTGCTACCAGGATTGATTTTTTGTTGCATCACCGCTTTTTCCTTTTGGTAACACAACTAATGGTACTATCATTGGTACTTCATCGCCACAATTAATAGTTTCCATCGACAATTCGAATATTACCTTCATCATGCCACCAGCGCCGTTCCCCTATGAACTTTCGAGTTAATCCTTGTTCTAATGGAATTTATCACGATACCGTGCTAATCTACGCTTTCTTCGCTATTAAATTCCCATTCTGGCCTAATTTCTATATGTGATTTTATCATATATAATAATCCTTTTTAGGGTTGAACCTCAAACTTTAATTTCAAATTAAAAATTTTAAATTAATAAATATCAACTCAGTTAAACTCTTGTTGGTCATAATCATTTTTTGGGTTCTCTTTTTTTTTTTTTTTTCTTTTTTTTTTGCTTTCCCTAATTCTCTTCTACAAATGGTTATTATCTCTGGTTTTTTTTTTTCTCCTTTGTCTATCCTTTTTAATAATGAAAAATTGTTTTATAATTCAAACTATATCATATTGTAAAAAATGGATCCTTAGATGAACAGTGGGCTTTCTAATATTGGAGCCCCCTTCCCAATCAAGGATTTTTATTTTATAATTCGGGTTGTAAAACATCAAATTCTTTATATAAATAGGAAATTAATTTTAACCCTAATGTTGGATATTTAATATACGTTAGATTTTTTAATAAAAAAATATAATTTTATTAATATATGAAAACTATAAGGGTTATTGCACCAACCTAAATGGAGTAATAACAAGAGGTATTATATATTCATAATATACATGTAAACACAAAATCAAATAATCTAATATCTATATGAATATCACAATTAGACCCAAGTTTGTGATTTAGCAATCAAACCACATTCCAACATAATCCATCTAAACAGAAAGTAAATTGGTTCTAGGTAGAAAATTTAGGTAGGTACCCTGTCCCCAACCATGCCTTCAACAACTGAAATTAGCTCAACAACTAATCTAAGTCTAACCAATATTGCATTTAAGTTGCCATTCTCCTCTAATTAATAAGAGTGAATCCTAATAAAGAAGTATTGAAAAGGCCAAGGTAGAAACATTCAAAAAAGAGGGAGAAACCTTCACAAGAGAGAGAAAAACCCTGAAAAGAGAGAAGAGAATTTCCACATTTGGCCATTCACCCCAATGGTCAGGGGGAGATAGGTAGCGGCGATTAGGGAAAAGAAGGAAACAAGAGAAAGAGAATATATGTTAGATTTGAATTTCTCCTTAATAAATGTCTATGAAAGTTCATTGAATATTTATTGAAGATGTTTTTAAGGTTCATTGGGTATCTTTAATAAACATTTTTTGAAAAATATATTAGATATTAGGGGTGAGCATTTTTAGGTGTAGGTCAGATATGAGTTATATTTGATATTTGATTTGAAATTTTTTTAGGTACAGTATTTTAGACTTAGTATCTATCAAAATACTTGAAGACCTATATTTAATACTCAATTCAACAGGTACTAAGTAACTTGTAGGTATATATTTATGTACTTGATTTAGGGAAAAAAAATGTAATATTAGATGCTATTATTAAGTGTATTATGTGTTTGGATTAAGATTTTTTTATTTATACAAGTAGTTATTATTGCTTATGTGATTTGTTTGGTTTATATGCCTTATATAACTTTTATTTCTATTTTGTATTTTATTAGTTTTATTTTTAAAAATTATTGTTATTATATAAATTTTAAATATGATAAGTATATGTAAAATTTCAATATACAAGTATAGGTAACAGGTAAGTTAAACATGTAGGTAAGTTAAATAAGTTGGGTAAACAAGTTGGGTAAACAATTCTAAACCCCTTGTATTTGTTATTTGACTTAATATTTACAAATATACTCTTTTCATATCTTTTACTTATCCTTTTTTTCTACAGTTGGGCATGGCACTTATCCAAATGAGTAAAATACTTACAAGTAACTAGTGTACCCGTACCCAATGCTCAACCTATTAGATATTTATTGAAGATTTTTTTAAAGCATTTTGAGTATTTTATAAGATTTTTATAAAACTAATTAGATATTTATTTTAAAATTTTAGAAAATATTAAATTATTACAATAATTTTGTATAGATTTTTCTTTCACACCGTTTCAAATTGATACAGAAATACTTGCAAAAGAAGTCAATATCAACCCATTTTTGCTGGAAAGATAACTAACCTGCTCTCTATGGTCCGCAAAACTTGTTTTATCATTTTCATTAATTTCAACTCCAGCTCTGTTACCCCGTTGCTTTATCCTTCTTGTTTCAAAACCTGTGCAACTTTTTTAGATGAATCAAACCAACCATATAGACCAAACCTCTCCAAAAATCAACTTTTTTTGATATACTACCAGGCATCCCCTGGGCTTACAATCCCATTAATCAATTTCAATTGCAGGAAGCTAATGACCCAGTTAATCAAAACTTGCACATCCATCCCAATGTCTATGACAGAACATTCTAAAATTTCTTTCCTGCCATGACATAAACTTTAGCAGCCAGGGCAGGCTTGAATCTCTCTAGACTGGTCCTCTTCCTTTGCAAGTTCTCAATATCCATAGCCATTCCACAGGCCAAGGTTGGGGTCTTGTCAGAATTCCCAAGTATTGCAATACAGCTCCCCACACCAACTTGGGATAGTTCCATTCAGAGAACAAGTGCCTACTGGTCTCCACCATATTTGAGCAAAAAAAACAAACTCTATCAATGAGCATCCCTCTAGACGCTAGTGATCTCCATGCTTTTAATCTCCCTTAAACAAATTAATAACCATGGTATAAAACTGTGTCTAGGAAAATTTTCCCCCGACCAAACAATACCATCCCACCTGACCCCTTGTTCCCTATTTCTCATCAGTCGGTAGCAGCTTGCAACAGAAAATTTGCCTGAGGGCGCAGGAATTCATATGATTCTGTCTTCTTCCTATGTGAGCTGTGTCTCAAACAATGCTGTTACTGCACCTTATTTCCTGGTGAAACTATCAGTTATCCTCCATGAACTACCATTCCACCAGTCACTAGGGTTAGTTCAGCCCGCAAATCCTCAACAACTCCTCCTTGGAGTTCAGCATATCCTCAATCCTTTTCCCCCCAAACCATTAGTCATAGAAAAGAAATGTTTGTCTTTTTTAGATACAGATTAAAAGTATATTTATTACACATTTTTATCATTAATTATTATATAAAAATGAAAATTTGATGTTGATTTTATCAGCTACCAAATCAAAATCATCCATGTAGCATTGATGTTAAAATTAATGTTAATTTTTGTGTTCTCTCATGT